CCCCCGGCAATTCCCCTTTTTTTTGACCCCTTTGCTTCCTTCCCTTCCCCCCCCCTTCCTCCCCCCCAGCCGCCAAAGCCGCGGGGCCCAGCTTGAGGGCGCCGCGGAGGCGCCACCCCGCCCAACCACCCCGCCCCGCCCCCATCACAGCCAATGCCGCCGGGGCCGGCCACGCGGGTGGAGGCCAGGTGTGCCAAGTCGGACGCCGCGTCGAAAGTGACGGCGTCGTCAACGGCGGCCACCGCTCGGCCCCACAAGCCCATCCCTGCAGAGAGGACCGAACCCGCCACCGCGGCGCCGACTGCGCCGATCCCCGCCTCGCCGCCTACTCGGCACCGCGGTCGGGGCTCGAGAGCGCGCGCGCAGAAGCCGCGCCCCCGGCCGCGCGTCGCCCACCCGGCTCCGGGGCGGGCCCGCCCTCCCGCCGCCGAGCTACCTCCTCTGCCAGCTTTGACCTTGCGGCAACCGCCGCGCGGGCCGCGCGCTCTGCCACGCCGCCGAGCCTGCGTGAGGAAGGCAGGCGGGCGAGAGGCCGTGAGGGCGTGGCACGGCGCCCGCCGCCTCGACGGCAGTCACGTGACGACGAGCTGCTGGATGTCGGGCAAGGGTGGTGACATCTACGCCTCCGCGCGTCTCCGACGCCTTGACAGCCTCGACGGCGGAGCCAAGTCGCTCGCCTACAGGCTCGCAGCGAGAAGCCACCCGTCGGCACGCCGGCCGTCTACGAGCTGCGGACCGAGCAGCGTCGGGGCGCCGATCTTCGCGCTCGCGAGGGCAGAGCGGGCCGTGCCCTGTGGCGAGGCGGGGCGGCGTGCATGCGGTCGGCGGGCAAGGCTGTGGCGAGGAGGGGCGTGACTGGGGCAGCTGCACCAGCCCCGAGCCCAACGACGCCATGAGCGCCTCCAGCCCCTCCTCCCCGTCGTTCCCAGCGGGCGCCTACTCGCAGCGCGCCGACACCTCGTGCAGGGAAGAGAGGGCCGCGGCAGCGCGCGCGAGCGGGCGGAGGCCGAGCCAAACCCTTGCATAATGCGGCCAGCAGAGGAGGAGCCGCAGCCGCTCGCGCCTCGGACCCCAGCCCCTGCGGCGCCGCCGCCCGCGCCGCCGTTGCAACCGGTCGGCGGCGGCGGCGGCGGCGGCGGCTCGTACCTACGCGCGGCATGCCGCAAGCTCTCAGGCCGTGCCACTTGGACCGTGAGGCGCCGCTCTCGCGCGCGCACGGGACGCTTGGCGGCGCCGGAGCGCCGCCCTCGCCACGCGAGCGCTCGGCGAGCCATGCCCTGTACGCCGCGGCGGAACGCGTGTTGTACTTCTGTCGGATGGCGCCCTCCGCCTGCGACTCGCAGCCGGCGAACTGGCCTCCGCCAGACTGCAGCTCCTCGGGCATGCCGCACTGGCGAAGGTACTGCCGGAACGCGGTGTTGCCTCCGCACGTCATGCGCTGCTGCTGCTGCTCGGACCACGAGTCCATGTTTAGGGAGCGCACAAAGGAGATGTGCACTCCCAGGTTGCGGTGGACGCCAGAGCACTCGAGGCAGAAGTACGTCCCATACGAGAGCGACGCCCACAGAGGCGAGTTGGCGCCACAGTCAACGCACTTCCCGTTGCCCGCATCCGCCTCCTTGAGCTTGTCAAAGAAGGCCATCGCCTCGCGGCCGTACAGAGACATGCCGAAGAACAAACACGCGGGCCCCAAGGCGAGCTCACTTTTTCACCCCGGGTTGCGTTTTTTCTCATTCCACGTGCCTCTGCACCTCCGTTCACGTGCACGAGCTTCTTGAGCCACCCACCCACCCACCGACCTCATGGCCCGGCTGAGGCTTAGAACCACCCACCCACCCCACCCACCTCACGGCCCGGCTGAGGCTTGGAACCACCCACCCACCCCCAGCACCACCCACCTCACGGCCCGGCTGATGAGGCGAGGAACCCACCCACACAAACCGACCCACCCCCACCACCCAACCAACCGTCCCGGCCACGGGAGACACAAGCAAGGTAGCAAAGCACCCAGCCTCGCGCGCCTTATACAGCACAGCCTGACCCACAGCCGAGGGTTAGGGTTAGGGTTAGGGTTAGGGTTAGGGTCAGAGAGTTCAAGCCGTTGTGCAGCTCCTAAGAACGGGCCGCTTCGGGTCGGAATGGAGGAACCAGCGGTCCGTTGACGCGAGCTCTCGGTGAATGCTCCGAGTTCTTCGGGTTTGGGTTAGGGTTAGGGTTAGGGTTAGGGTTAGGGTTAGGGTTAGGGGTAGGGGTAGGGTCAGAGAGTTCAAGCCGTTGTGCAGCTCCTAAGAACGGGCCGCTTCGGGTCGGAATGGAGGATCCAGCGGTCCGTTGACGCGAGCTCCGTCGGTGAATGCTCCGAGTTCTTCCGGTTAGGGTTAGGGTTAGGGTTAGGGTTAGGGTTAGGGTTAGGGGTAGCTTGTTGTCGTCGTGCCGATAAGACAGAGACACGGGCAGCAGACGCGACCCAATCGACGCACCAGAGCATGGTTGGGCGTGTGAGCCGCCATCTTGGACTGTGAGGCGAGCACTTGCCACCGGGAGCTCGCCGCCGCCCCTACACCGCCGCCGCCGCCCTCCCGAGGCCAGATAATAGCCCAAGAGAAGTCGAAGAGTGCGCGCCGCCCTCGGTATCTGGGTGGCAGGCGGGGCTAGAGAGGCACGCCAGAGCACGGCCGGGGGCGCGAGCCGCCATCTTGGACTGTGAGGCGAGCATTTGCCACCGGGAGCTCGCCGCCGCCCCTACACCGCCGCCGCCGCCCTCCCGAGGCCAGATAATAGCCCAAGTCGAAGAGTGCGCCCTGCCCTCGGTATCTGGGTGGCAGGCGGGACTAGAGAGGCATGCTGGTGCACGGCCGGGGGCGCGAGCCGCCATCTTGGACTGTGAGGCGAGCATTTGCCACCGGGAGCTCGCCGCCGCCCCTACACCGCCGCCGCCGCCCTCCCGAGGCCAGATAATAGCCAAAGTCGAAGAGTGCGCCCTGCCCTCGGTATCTGGGTGGCAGGCGGGACTAGAGAGGCACGCCAGAGCACGGCCGGGGGCGCGAGCCGCCATCTTGGACTGTGAGGCGAGCATTTGCCACCGGGAGCTCGCCGCCGCCCCTACACCGCCGCCGCCGCCCTCCCGAGGCCAGATAATAGCCCAAGTCGAAGAGTGCGCGCCGCCCTCGGTATCTGGGTGGCAGGCGGGGCTAGAGAGGCACGCCAGAGCACGGCCGGGGGCGCGAGCCGCCATCGTGGACTGTGAGGCGAGCATTTGCCACCGGGAGCTCGCCGCCGCCCCTCACCGCCGCCGCCGCCCTCCCGAGGCCAGATAATAGCCAAAGTCGAAGAGTGCGCCCTGCCCTCGTCAGGGAGCGCGATCTCGGTCAGCTGGTGCCGTCGCGTGGGCACGGTGCGAGGAACGACATGCTGTGGCAACGACGAGAGCTGTGCCTCGAAGACGCGCGCGAACGGAGAGAGAAACGACAAATGGACCCACCCACCCACCCACCCACCCACCCACCCACCCACCCACCCACTCACCATCCGGGGCCTACGAAGCGTTTACCCACCCACCCACTTTTTCAAGAACGGACGTGCAGAGGCACGTGGTGTGAGAAAAAACGAAACGCAGAGGTATCCGCCTGGAAAAAGGAGCATGCTTTTCGCTGCGCATGCTCGAGCCCTCGGCGAGGGCTTGTGCTGTGAATAGCAGGCGTGGTCTCTACTCGCCAGAGTTCTGATAAACGCAGTAAACGAAAAAACAATTCTTCTTTTTTCGGTTGCGTTTCTTTGGGACGACGAGCAGAGTCCGCTGGACCAGCGGTGGCGGCGCGGCCAAGCGGCGACGTCGCCTGCACCGACTCGCTGAGTGCGACGACCGCCCAAAAAGAACGCACGGACGGGACGCTCCCGCTGCGTTCCGTCACAGGTGTCGCGGTCTCCCCCACTGAGGACGATCTGCGGGAGGGAGTCGCGCCGCCGGCATGTCTGTGCAACTTGTGTTTTGCCTTCGCTTGTCCCGTTTGATGGAGCAAAGCCACGGGCCGCCCGCGCTTGAAGGCGGTCGCGCCAGGCGCGGGCGGCACTGGTTGCTGGCGATCCGCTTGGGCAGCGCCCGCGCTTGCCTCTGACTGGGTCTCCTAGGTCGCGTGTCCCGATGCTCAATTCGAACATCTCGCAAGCTGGCGTCGCTCGCGTAACTGTGGCAGGGCGATCCTCCCTTCGGTGGGCAGGCGTATCCTCGCCCGCCTCATCGCGTCCGTCGCCTCCTCTAGAGAGAGCGCGGGCAGGTCGCGGTCGCCCGCCGCGGCCCGCACGGCCGATGCCAAGAGCATGGCGCTGCGAGAGTCGCCCGCCTCCGCGGTTAGCTCCGTTCCCGCCTGCGCGCACGTAGCAAGCGACCGCATCGTGCGCACGGACATCAGAGCGCTGCGGCTCCATGTCCCGAATTGAGCAAAGGTACTGCCACGCCTGCTCCCCCTGCTGGAAGAAATTCGTGCGAAGGTGGAACTTGATGTCCTTGCACGATATGTTCTTGACCAGGAGGGCGTAGGCCTGCTTGCGGCGGGTGCGGTACAGGGCTTGCATCTTCTGTGCGTACTGCGCAGTGCCAGCAGGCAGAGCTGGAGCGCCGACGGCGGTTCCTCCCATGTCCGCACCAGTGAAGACATCCGCGACGCTGGAGCCGGATTCGTCGGTCCGCTCCGCACCAGTGTCAAGAATGGCCCTTTTTCACTCCTTGAAGAGAAGGCCAGATGTCCCATCCCATTGGGTGACGGACGGCATGTCTTTGTCACGGTTGTTGCTAGACATGCTACGTAGTTACCCCTCAGTTGGCTCCACGTTGAAGATGAGCGCGCGCGTCACAGCGCAGGCCAGGTCTCCACTGGCCGCGGCACCAGCTCCCGCGGTCTGTACGCTAGGAGTGGTCCGCCCGCGCAATGAATGCGGAATACTGTTACGAAAAGTACAAGGTCCGACAGGTTCGGCACCGGGCACCGCCTCGGTATACAAAATGCGCCTGCGGGCGGACCCTCACAGATCACAGATCACAACTAGTGCGACACACTAGTCAGTCTCGTAATCGCGCCAAGAGCGCGGATACCGGCCGATCCAGCAGTCGTCTGCGACATGGCAGTGGCCCCGGGTCATGTGCAGCTGGCCCCGAGCGGCTCAGGTCCCAGATCGAATCTCGGACCCACAGATTCTAGATTCCTTTAGATTCCCTGGATTCCCGCAACAGCGACACAACAAGCGGGATTTTTGACTCTGTCCTCGATTCTTCAGTCGCTCTGCCGGACGCGCTCGCTTTGTCGCGAGGGTCATCGGTGCAAGCCGTGTGGACGCCCAGAATAGCCTCCCCTGGCTTAGCTAGAGTGAGAGATATTGTGCACATGGTCAGCCTCTACAATATATACGCTGACACTTTACCTCCCAGAGCTCGTCTCGGTCCGCCACGGCCATCCTCAGCCTCCGGAGGGCCCCCGGCCGCGGCGCGGTGCGGCGGCGTCACAAATCCGACGTCAGTTCACCGGGACGCGATCGGGCGATCTGAAGTCCAACTAGGCGTATGGATTGCCCGCCCAGGGCTATCACCTGGACCCCTCAATGGACGCCTGCGGTGCCGCCCCCACGAGGTGTTGTTCACAACCATTCACGTGCAGCAGGGACGCGCTGTGTGTGTGGCTGGCAGCAGCAAACTCAAATGACGACGGGTTGCAGCCTCGTAGCTCAACGGCAACACTGTGCATGAGGAAGGCTGATAGAAGTAGCACAGCCACACAACCAACAGCTTCTTGAGAGTATGCGGAGCGCAAGCAGCCGGTGATCAAAGGCGTGTTGCTGTCGGTGGCAGATTGCCAAAGGGACGCCGGCGCTTCGGTGCAGTGGCTTCGGGGTGGTCACAATTTTCCACCGCTCAACTTGGAGGCAGTGCGTCTAGTAGCGTGCTACAGCTATGACGGCGGACCTCACTGGGGCGCCGACGTGCGACGACCCCGTCTCTGGGATCGCGGAAAGACGAAACCGCGTCCCAGGAGCTCGTGCAGAGCGCGCTCCGGAGCTCTGTGGCGGAAATTTTGAAGGGAACGTGGTGGCTTCCCACCGCCTCTGTATGTACCCAATAAAGTGCTAACACGACCCTCGGGCAGCAGGGGGTATGTGGCGAGCACACGGAGGCACAGTTAGGCCGCCGTGATTAAATCAGCGTGATATCGCCCTTCCGGGCACCCCGTTCCTTCGGTAGCCGTTTAGGGGTTAAGGAGAGGGGTGTGATGCGCTAGCCATCGCCCACCCTAGGGAGTCTGCCTCTTCCTATCTCTCTTCGCAGCCCCTCGCCAATTCTCGCTGCAACCTTCATGCCACCTCGCGGTCGTCCCACTCTCGTCGTTCTCTCTCGCTTGTCGCTTCTTCCCATAGTCTGAGGGTTAGGTTTCTGGAGCCTCGGGTGCTTTTACGCTTTTGATCGGGTCAGGGGAGAGTGCGACTTTTACCACTTTGGTCGTCTCGGAGCGCCCAACTTTTAGCATTTTTCAAGTTTTTCTTCGGCGCTGCGCGCCGGGTGCAGTAAGTACTAGCTATCCGTCCCGCAAACGCCGCAAACGGCAGAAGTAGTTCCTGCACACTATGCCTAGAAAAATGCCGCTCGCCTCGAAAGCGCCCGCCGGTGTGTGTCCAAACACATGCAGCGCTACAAGTTTGTCACACATTGATAAGGGCGCTGCTGAGCACGAGGCTGAGGCGCTGAGCCGCTGAGCCCGGGGCTCTTTGCGGCGGCGGCGATGCGAAAGGTAAAAGGATCTGGTGGCGATGAAGGTGGTGGAGCTCAAGGAGGAGCTGGGCGAGCGTGGCGAGGCCCTCTCGGGCAACAAGGCGTGGCTGCGCCGCCGGCTGCACGCCGCTATAGCGAGCGAGGATTTGGAGACCGCGCTGCGGGCGCCGCCGGAGAGCAGAATGTCCAAAATTTTCGCGCGCGCCTGCGGCGCGCGACTTTTACCATTTTGCCCCGGGCGGGCCCACTTTTGTCGTTTTGCCCCAAATCTACGCCCGGGCGTGCTTTTAGCGTTTTGACCCAAATCGGCCGAACTTTTAGGATACCCTCAGACTATGCTTCTTCCTCTGTCGCACCGGATCTCCTCCTGCCTCATCCTGCGACGGCGCCGCCGCCTGTCGCTCCCTTGCTCTCGTTTCTTCTCCCGCCTTTCGTCGCAGCTCTGCCCTCCTCGCGGCATATTTTGGCCCCTCGAGTTTATCGAGCTCTCCTTGCGCAAGGACGACTCTTCCGACGCCCACTCCGATCCTAGCTCCGATCATTTGCCGCCAAGTCATATCGTTGCTCAGGTCACTCTCGCTCGTTTCGGACACTTGTACCTCCACGGCTGATGCTGGCGCTGGGGTCCCCTTCGGGTGTATCGTGACAGCTGACGACGGGATTACCACCGGTGTTTCGTCCTTCCTCAGCCAATCGCCTCCAGCAAATGCTTCATCACACGGACGAGACGCGTTCGTTGCTGCGAGGCGGCCACCGAGCCTTCCTGCAAAGACTTCGGATACGCCAGCCTGTTGTCGGCGTGATCGCCACTGGGCTTAGCTGAGGGTCAAGGATTCGGTGGTATAGCAGCCACTGCGCAGCACACAAGCAACCGTACAACTATTCCCGAGGAGGGGTCGACGTCTGGCCTGAAGTCGGGTGGGCTCGCGCACTGCTTAGCCCTAGGGGAGGGGTGTGTGTGAGGTGGTGGAATGGTAAGGTTTCAGGGCAGAGGGGTGGGGGATTTGGGGCGATGAGTCAGGAGCCAGAAGCCTTCCTACTGGACCTGAGTTCTCAGCTCTTCCGCCCGACGGGGTGGTCCCTTGGATTCGGGCCCCGCTCCCTTTTCCTGCGCCTGGTCTGTCCCTGTCATGAGTGTGTTGCGAGATGCAGAGCTGGTTAGCTGGAGCACAGATCTGGTTACTGGAGCACTGGTTAGGCTGGAGAGCTTGTTAGGCTGGCAGTAGGCTGGGGCACAGAGCTGGTTGGGCTGGAGCACAAAGCTGGTTAGGCTCAAAACGACATTTGCATCGCGGCTGAGGGAAAGCTCCTGATCGAGCCCAGCGTGCCCGCGGCCGCCTCCCGCGCAGCACCGCCGCTGCGGAATCGGATCGAGCCCATGGAGGAGGAGGGCGCAGTCGGCCAGCGCAGCAGGCGGAGTCCCTCCCCGCGCCGGAGCCCCCCTGCAGTCGAGGGAGTCCTCGTTGGCGATGAAGGTGGCGACATCGAATCGCGGCCGACACACGTCACGGGAGGAATGGGCGATGAGCGGGAACGATGCGCGCTACGACGCCGACTCCGCCGTGCTCGTGGCCGCAGAAAGCCGCGCTCCAGGAGCACGCCAAGATGCAATGGCTCGCTTGCTTCGATTCAGCTCTCGGCAGCAGAAGTGGGGCTGGAGCGGGTGGGGGTGGATGCCGATTGAGGGGGAGCGTCTCCAGCTGCGCCCTGTGGCAGCTGCGCCCTGTGGCAGCTAGTCGAGGGACTTGGTAGTTGTGACCCCCCTGAGTGAGGACAGGAGAGAGAGAGCGTTTTGTGGTGTTGGTGTACGCAATAACGGGACAGGGTGGTTGTTCTCTCTATCTCCTCTTCTAGCTCTTAGCATGAGCTGCGCCCTGTGTCCGACCCCTTTTGCGCAGCAACACCTTAAACTTTTGGGCCCTCCAAATTCGGGTCGGAGCGTAGCGGAGTGGGCCCCGAGTTTGAAAAGGGCGACGGACGCTTGCGTCCTAGCCTCCAACAACGCCTCCCCGGCGCAGAGGGGCCCCCGGAGGGATGCACAACCGCTCCACGCCACGCCGCTTGCGGCGGTCCTCTTCCCAGCTCCGCTGAGGGCCCGTGCGTTATTTTGCGCTCTCTGCGCCGCGCACCACTCTCCGCACGCTATTCGCGAATGCCCACCTCGTCGCTTCGCCTCGTCTGCCTCGCCGCGCTGCTGGACATAGCCGGCACGCTCGTCGTGCACCACCGCTCCGCGACACTCGCCGGATCCGGCCTCATGGCGCGTGCATGGCAGCCGCTGCGCGCAGTGCAGCTGCAGCCGGCGCAGCCCATCGCAGTGTTCCGCGGCCGCGCCGGCGACATCCGGATGGGCGTGCCCAAATTCTTCCGGTGGCTGACGGAGAAGTACCCGCAGATCAACGTCAAGATCTCGGAGGGCCGCCGCCGCTCCGACTATGTCGACAACTTCTACCTGGACATGAACGGCATCATCCACCAGTGCACGCACGGCGACGAGGTCGGCCCAAACGAGAAGCTGAGCGAGGAGCAGATGTTCGAGCGCATCTTTGCCTACACCGACCGCCTCATCTCCATCGCGCGGCCGCGCAAGGTGCTCTACCTCGCCATCGACGGCGTCGCGCCGCGAGCAAAGATGAACCAGCAGCGCTCGCGGCGGTACCGGGTGCCGAGGGAGCTGGCGCAGCAGGCGCTGCGCGACAAGGCGAACGCCAAGGCGCGCTTCCGCCAGGCCGGCGACGCGCCGACGACCGGCCAGCCCCTCGGCTCGCAGCGGCCGCCGCCGCCGCCCGAGGTTGACACCTTCGGAGGGCCTCCGCCACCGCCGCCATTTGACTCGAACTGCATCACACCGGGGACGGACTTTCTGCACCGTCTGGGGGGCAAGTACGAGGAGTGGATCGCGCACAAGATGACCACCGATCCGGCCTGGCGCGACGGGCCGCGAGTCGTCTTCTCTGGCGCCGCGGTGCCGGGCGAGGGCAAGCATGAGACCACGGACTGGATCTCGCACTATCTCCCCATATCTCCCCATATCTCCCCATAGGCGAGGGCGAGCACAAGATCATGGACTTCATCCGGGCGGAGAAGGTCTCACCGCCTCGCCTCTCACCGCCTCTCTCTCACCGCCCCTCGCCGCCCCTCACCGCCCCTCGCCGCCCCTCGCCGCCCCTCGCCGCCCCTCACCGCCCCTCACCGCCCCTCACCGCCCTCACTCCCCCTCACAGGCGGCCGCCGGGGCGGCGCACGAGGCGGACGAGACGCGGCACTGCATGTACGGCCTCGACGCCGACCTCATCATGCTCGGGATGATCACGCACGAGAAGCACTTCTCCCTCCTCCGCGAGCGGCAGCGCTTCCAGCGAGGCCGCTTCGCTCCGCGCGGGCGAGGGCGCGGGCGCGGGCGCGGGCGCGGCGGGCGCGGCGGGCCTCGGGCGCAGCCGCCGCGGCTCGCGCTGCGGGGCGAGGGCGACCGCGGCGGCGCGGCCACTTCGGAGGCCGATGACCAGGAGCTGCGCCTCGCTCGAGCGGGAGTGAGAGGCGGCGAGATGCTTCGAGTTGACCCGATGCCGCGCGGGTGTAGGACTTTGTCTTTCTCGAGCTGGAGCAGCTGCGCCAGTGCCTGGCGGGCTCAATGCGCCCTCCGGTGGCGCGCGAGGTGCTGGGCTTCGAGTGGGAGGCGAGATCGGCCCGAGATTACCCGAGACAGCGAGCTCCACCCGAGATTACCCGAGATTACCCGAGAGTCCCTCAAGACCGCCGATCGCCCGAGACACACCCGGCTGCACCCCCCTCCGCGCTCGCGCGCGCCACACCTCTCTTTGTCCACAGGCGGAGCGCGCCGTGGACGACTTTGTCTTTTTGTGCATGTGCGTGGGCCTAGATACGGGCGAGGGGGACGGCCGCGCCCTGTGCACTGTGGAGCACGCAGTCGGCCCACCCACCCCGCCCCGCCCGCTCCGCCCGCTCTGACACATTGTCTCTCTCTCTTTCTCACTCCTCACTGAGGCGCCTTCTCATTGCAGGCTCGTGGGCAACGACTTCCTGCCCGGCCTCCCGTCGCTCGACGTCGCCGACGGCAGATGCCCCCCCTCCACCCTCTCCTCCTCCACACCCTTATCCACACCCTCCTCCACACCCTCCTCCACACCCTGCTCGCAGGCGCGCTCAACGCGATGATGCGCGCATACACCGAGCTTGTCGGCGAGTCGCGCGGCTACCTGACAGACAAGGGCTCCATCGACATGGCCCGCTTCGAGCGCTTCGTCGGCATGATTTCGACCGGTGAGGGCTACACGGTACGCAAGAAGATGGGGCGCGACGCGTCCGCCCCCGCGCCGAACGCGCGCGAGTCGGAGGCACCGGGCGAGTACAAGCGGCGCTACTACCTGCAAAAGCTTGGGCTGCACCCGACGGACAGCGCGGGGCGGCGGAGGCTGATCGGCTCGTACCTGCAGGGGCTCACTTGGTGCCTCGAGTACTACCACAACGGCTGCCGCTCGTGGGACTGGTTCTACCCCGACTTTTACGCGCCGCTCGCCTCGGACCTCGTGCAGCTCCCGTCGTTTGACGTGTCGCTCGAGATGGGCGCTCCACGCCCCTCTCCTCCGCCCCCTGCCGCCGACCACGACCCGTGAACCCGACCCCGGTCATGGGACCCCTCTCTCCGCCCTTCCCCACCCTGACCGCAGACCCCCAGCCCAGCCCAGCGGCCCTCGAAACGGGGGCCCTCGAAATGCGGGGCCTCAAACGCCGGCCCTGCGCGGCTCTAGGCGCCCCCTTCTCGCCGCTCTGCCAGCTCCTGTCGGTGCTCCCGCCGCAGTCGGGCGATTTGGTGCCGCTCGCGTACCGCGAGCTGATGCTCTCGCCCTCGTCGCCCATCTACGACGCCTTCCCCGTCGATTTTGCGCTCGACGCCAACGGCGCGCGCACGCGCGCTCTGGGGGCGGTCTGGGCTTGCGGGGCTGCCTAACTTTCGGCCCTCCCGTGCCGCCCCACCATCTCCCGCGCCGCAGGCAAGCGAGCCGAGTGGGAGGCGGTCGCGTTGCTGCCCTTCATCGACCAGGAGAGGCTTCTGGCCGCCGTCGGCGACATCGACCACGACGCGCGCCTCTCCGCGGAGGAGAACGCGCGCAACGCGCAACTGACCGATCTCATCTTCAGTCCGGGCAACCCCGAGGGAGAGCGGGGGCCAGCGAGCAAGCCAGTCGCCGCGGCCGCTCTGGCGCGTCCCCAGGCTAGGTGATCATGGCGTGAAGCGCGTGCCGTCGGGGCGGGGGTGGCGCAGGCGGTGGAGGAGGAGAGGATTGATCATTCACATTCGACATTGTGTGTGCGACATTGTGTGTGTGTGCACACGAGTCACACCGAACACACGTAGTGTACGAAGGTAGTACACTAGGCGTGGTACAGGGAACAACGAACATGAGTCATGACACCGGGAATCGATATAATAAGGGCACGGGAGCGTTTCGGCTAAAGCCTCCACTATCACATTTTGGCTTTCCAACAACTGGAACTGCGCACATGCCGCAGCGCAACCTCCGTCTCCTCTCTCGTTTAATCAACTCTGCGAATTAACGGCTGGTGTGCACGTGTTGTGTGTGGATGTGGTCAACTCCGTCTCCACAACAGCAACACTCCGCTGTCCGCTCCTCTGGTGTCGGAGCACTTGGAGCAGAGTCTCGGAAGACTCCGCTCGCGGCTCGCGGGTCGCGGCTTATTCGGTTCTCGCGCGAGAGAAGCCCTCGCTCCCGCCCGCGAGCGTCGCTGGTCGCCTAGAGTGGTGTTCACGTTTAGGCGAGGCAGTTTTGTAGCGGATCCGGATGTGCCATGATGTGGCGCTCACCGCTGTACTCTGGCGTGGGGCGCTGTCTCTCTCTCCCGCCCGGCGCCGCGCGCCCGCGCCCCCAACACCTGACTGCGCGCGCGACACGAAAACGCAAAATGAAAGGAACGAGAACTCAACATTACAAGTACGTGTAGCCTTCACGCTGGCGACGGACCTCTATAAACTTGGGCTCGGGCCGAGGCACGTAGCGTTCACGCAGCAATGACCCTGGCTGCGGCGCAAGGTCGCCACCGGCACCGCCGCAGCCGCAAACCCTTTCAAGACATGCTTCACAGACGGGCGCTACGCGTTTGGCGCACGGAAGCGCAAATGACACGCAGCAGCCGCCGCAAGCGCCTGCGCAGAGCCCAGCCAGGCCACAGGAGCACTTGTCGCACGCGGCGCTCCTTTGCTTCAACTCATCGCAAGAGGCAACGACTACGGGCTCAGCCCTCTCCACTGTATCAACGAGGCTGCCGTTGCACGCCTTGTCATAGCTGGCTTGGCAAGCAAGCACTGAGCACGTCCAGGCCGCTTTAGCGCATACGCTCAAACTCCTGCAACACGGCCCACTCAGGTTGCACGTGCATTGGTCGCAAGAGCTACCGCAGTCCTCCATACGCTGCGCAAAGTCGGCGGTGAGCGCTGCCGACTGGTCCGACTCGTCTCGACGCATGCGCTGCGTGGCAGGGGCGGCCATTCGTTTGCTCGTCTTTCTGCCAGTCCGCGCGCCCTTTCCCCGGCCTCCCTCTCAGTGTTCAACAGTGTGGACTGGCCCGAGGGACGTGGCACCGCAAGTTCGGCCGTTTTTTTAGCCCTATAAAAGCCATAAATAAATAAAAACGGACAGCTCTCTACTGTGAGGTGGGTAAAAAGGAACAGGTCCCCGCCCTTGCGATCTTTGTGCAGGGTTCTTTGTGGGTGTGGTCGGCGACTAGCCGGGGTCGTCCTCCCGATGGATGGGGGACTGACTAGCACTAGCCGTCTTCCACATGGTCCCTCGGGTCCCTGCCGCTCCTAACCTCTTCGTACATCCTCCTGCTGATCTCCGCAAAGTCCTGCTCCCTCCCTCGTCTCGCCCTGCACGTCTGCTCCGCCCTAGCTCCGCCTCACCGTCTTCTGCCCTGCGTCGTCTGGCGACGGGTCCTCCATAGTCGGTCGAGGTCGCCGCCCTCCTCGCGCCTCTTCCCAACGTTCCCTCGGCGGCTGATGCCGTCCGCTCCGGCTCCCCAGTCCCCGGGTCTGCCCTGCTCTCGTCTGCGCTAGTTCCTCCTGCTTCGTCACCACCCCGGCGTCTCTCCTCTTCCTTCTCCCCTTCTTGTATGCTTTGCACATCGCGTCGATTCCTTTTCTGTGAGGTGTAGTTTCTTTTTGGTTGGGGCGGCCCTCATGACGGGGTAGGTAGGGTAGGTCTGGGCCTCGGCCGAGGGGCGCGGGCGGGGGGGGGGTCTGGCCCTCATGACGCGGGGTCTCCGCGGTAGGGTGGGTCTGGGCCGAGGCAGAGGCGGGGGGGGGGGGGGGGGTTTTTCCCGGCGGGCTGCGGACTTTCGCCATCTCACCATACGTGGGTACAACCTCAACCCTGTTCCTTACCTCCCCACCCGCCAAGGGGGGGCCGCGGCCTTGGGAGGTGCGTCACGACCCCTCTGACTCCTCTGAGCGCTGAGGTGGGAGTCCGGGGCACAACTCTTCCACCCCGAAAGAAATTCCACAACCGCGAACAGCACAGTAAGACGCCCCAAACCACCGCTCGTTTGTGGCGCTGACCGAGCGACTTGCCGTCAAAGCATTTGCCTCGCTGCGAGCGCGAGGACCGGCACGAGCACAACGGCGGACCAAATCAACCAAATCGCCAGCGCGGGCGCTGGCGCAGCCTCCGCCACAAGCACGCCCTTCACCGGGGCTGTGGGTGGAGCCACCTTGGGCGGAGATGGCAAGCGGGCGTCGTCATCGGAGCGTTCGCTCAGCGCCCGCGTGGCCGCCTGCGCCAGCCCACCCTCTGGGATCGACAGCAGCTCATCAACGCCGCCCCAGCCGGCGGCGGCAGAGACGGTGGCACGGGGCGTGGCCGCCGGTGTTGGCTGCACGCCCGCGTCGGGGAGGTCAGCGGATAGGAAGCAGAGGAGCGGCTCAGGGCCTGTAGACGAGAGGAGCGATATGGGGAGCGCCGAGATGTAGGCGTGGAGCAAAGACTGCATCGCCGCGGCCCGCGAATTGAGGAACTTCAGCTCGAGCATCTGGTGGGCGAGCCGGAAGCCGTGCGAAGAGAACTTCGGGATCGTCACGCCCGACTCGCGCAGCTCCTTGCCGTGTTTTTCATTGAGGTCTGCGACCAGGATCCGCAGGTCGTTCCATCGCCGGCGGATGCGCCACTCTCGGCCATCCTCGACAACGAGCAGCCGGTAAACAGCATATGGCCGCGCCTCGCCTGCGACATCATGGCCCTCGACCAGCACCGAGCAGGCCATAACCCGACCGCCGGCCGGCGGGGTAGGCGGGGACGCGGCCGAAGGTGCACAGGCGAAAGAAGAACACAGCGCTCCTCACCCCACATGACAAGCGATCCCACGACAGCGAGTGTCAGGCGAAAGAAGAAATTTAGGTGCCGTTTGAGCGGAAGACCTTTTGTTTTTGTGTTGCATCGGCCGCTCGGGTAGCGACCCAAAAAGCAGCGCATGATGTGGAAGAGCTGGTCGATGTCCGACTCGCCGGAAAGAGCGGCGCGCCTGTGGCCATCTCCGGCAGCATGGTGCATGCACCCGATTGCCGCCACACATCCACCGGCGTCCCGTAGGCGGTGTCGCCCGTCAGGAGCTCTGGCCCGCGGTACCACGAACGAAAAACAAGGCACTTGTAAGTAGCCCGCCGGACTCCAACACAGCGACGTTATCCCTCGACCCATCCCTCCTTGGGTTGTCTGTTTGCTTTCTTTCTTTTTCCCTCGGCTTGTTTTTGTTTCTCCACACCTCAAGAGTCCCCAGAAACCCCGATGAATTACTCCCTGTGTGATGCGCACGCACGCGAGCGGGGCGGGAGGGTGGCGCTGTGCCTCTGTGTTCGTGCGCATCTCTCATGACTCATGTATTTATTGGCTCTTCACGGCCTAGGGATCCTATGCCGGTGAGTTGGCGTTCACGCGCACTTGGAGCACTTGGAGTGCAGTTATCAGCCTCACATCCAGGGCCGGCGCTGAATCATCATCGTCATGGCTCTGACAACCTCTGTCTGGTGCTGCTTCTCGCTTCGTGCGTCCTTGGAGTTGGTCTCGTTCACCACGAGCTCGCCACGTCGCCGCCTGTGTTTGGGTTTCTATGTTTGCGATTTGGATTTTGGATGTTCTGTGACCGTTTGTTTATTTATTTTCTACGACTCTTTGTTTATTTATTGTTGTTAGGAATCCCCGAGAGCGCCATCGATGTCGATCGATGTCTCGATGTTACAGGATGTATGAACTGCGCAGCGTTTTTTCAGAACCCAGTTGTGCGAGGGACTACATAAAATTCTGGAAAGTAAAATTCTTCTAAAATTCTTCAGCGAGTGGGCCTGCATTGTCAGCTCACCAGTCAGTTACAGCGCAGTCTGGGCCCGCGCATACATGGAGAACTACGAGCCGCTCGGCACGATTGGCGAGGGCACCTACGGCGTGGTGCTCAAGGCGCGGCACAAGGAGACCGGGCAGATTGTTGCCATAAAAAAGTTCAAGGAGTCGGACGAGGATGAGCAGGCGTGGTAGAAGCCGTGAGCCCGCCGCGACACGGGGAGAGCCGTGCAAGAGAGCATCGATTCCACCAGCATTCAGGCGCTGAGCGCCCGGGCACCAGTGCGCTCGGCAGCCACCACACCTGCCCAACCTTTAGGTCCGCAAGACGGCGCTGAGGGAAGTCAGGATCCTAAAGCAACTCAAGCACGACAACATCGTCAACCTGATTGAGGTCTTCCGGCGCAAGGGTAAGCTCCATCTCGTGTTCGAGTTCGTCGAGCGTACCATCCTAGAGGACCTTGAGCGCAACCCCGATGGCATGGACCCCATCGCCACCAAAAAGTGCCTCTGGCAGCTGCTCCGCTCGATCCAGTACTGCCACTCACACCACGTGATCCACCGCGACATCAAGCCCGAAAACCTGCTCGTCTCGAAGAACGGAACACTCAAGCTGTGCGATTTCGGCTTCGCGCGCACGCTGGGCGGGCCGGGCGCCCGCTACACCGACTATGTTGCCACCCGGTGGTACCGCGGGCCAGAGCTCCTGACGGGCGACACCGCCTACGGGACGCCGGTGGATGTGTGGGCAATCGGGTGCATGCTGCCGGAGATGGCCACAGGCGCGCCGCTCTTTCCCGGCGAGTCGGACATCGACCAGCTCTTCCACATCATGCGCTGCTTTGGGTCGCTACCCGAGCGGCTGATGCAGGTCTTCCGCTCCAACCCGCTGTTTATGGGGCTCAAGCTGCCAGAGAGCGTCCCTGCGACAGAGACGCTCGCCAAGCGCTTCCGCGACTGGGACGAGGGATCCCTCTCCTTCCTCGAGAACTGCCTCAGGTACGAGCCCGAGCAGCGTCAGACGTGTGCCCAGCTGATGCGCCACCCGTACTTCACCGAGGGGGACTTCATCCCGAGGTTCGAGGCGGAGCTCAAGGAGATGCTCGAGCGAGATGCGCAGGATTTCAAAATGCGGAGCAAAAAGTCGCGTCGCTCAAAGGGCCGCGCCACAGCGCCTCCTCCCGACTTGGGTACCACCCTGCCGACCATGTCGCCCACAGCCGAACCGGCGCCGTCAGTTTGCGGCGACTCATCTTCCCTCGAGCTGGCTCCGGGGGCTTGCTCCGGCGCACGGCGGCCAGCGACTCGAGAGGGGACGACGCGCCGCGGCGCCCAGCGATCCGCAGGAAGCAGCAACGGCAAGACCGCGGAGCGCGAGGTAGACGGCGGCGGCGGCGGTGGCGGCGGCGGCAGCAGCGGGTCTGTGTTGCCTCACGTCAACCGCCCGGCGACGCCGCGCGCGCAGCGCCTTGTCGCCTTTCCGCAGTTGGCATCGGCACTGGAGGATGGTCCGGCCGGAGCAGCAGCATTGCCGCCGCCGCGCGCGTGGCAGCAAGACACCCCGCTTGTCACGAAGGGCTTCGGCGCTCTCTCCTCTTTCCCGGGCCGGGCGCTGGTCGAGAGTAAGGGCGGGCGGGTTGGCTACTCTGTATCGCAACAGGCAATCACGCGCAATTTGCCCCATTTGCACGAGGCCCATCCATTCGCCGCCGCCGAGCTCCCAGAGAGGCTTGAGCGGTCGAGCGTGCCGCCGCCACCACCGCCGCGCGGCATCGCTGCCAAGCGGCGCACGCCGTACGACGGCAGCAGTCCCTACAGCCAGCCGCCAAAGACGCTCGGGAAGGTAAAGAAGCCAATCGCAAAATCGTCATTCTCCAGCGGCCCGTTTGGTGGCATGGGCATCGTCGGCACCGGCCAGCCGCCGTCTCTGTTGGGTCTAACCGCCGCCTATGGTCCGCTTGGGCACGCAGAGGGTCAGCGGGATGCGCTGGCGCCGCTGTACGACGGGCAGCACACCGACCCGATGAGCGGCTCCAGCGGTTTCCAGGGCTCGCGAGTGCAGGCGTCTTTGAACTACGGGCAATACGGCCTCCTCCGTGCCAGGGCGAGGGCGCAGGTGAACTAAAGTGCGGTGGTGGTGTGTGTGTGTGTGGTGGGGGGGGGGGGGTCACGAGAGTTGAGAGCCCGACCCCGATTCGCGAGTGAGACGCGAGAGGGGGGTGGAGAGTCTGGAGAGAGGAGAGAGCCACTGACACGTGAACACGACAGGCTGACAGAGGTCAGAGCCCGCGACAGATCTCCCCCTCTCTCTCGCTCGACTCGCTCGTGTGCGCCCTCGCTCGCCGTTCCCCCAGTACTGGCTACTGTGTACGGCTCTTTAAGTCTAACAACCAAGACGCAAGAGATAAATAAATAAAACGGACACCTCTACTAGGAGATGGGTAAAAAGGAACAGGTCCCCGCCCTGCGGTTAACAACCAAGAGAGTCCAAGAACCTCGCTGTATATATAATACAAGGGGAAGGACCCTGAGTTGCACAGGGGTTGTGCGCCATGGCCCTCCTGCTCGGCTCCAGCGAGTAGACAAGTGTTGCCATCGCAACAGAGGAGAAGAATCTGACCTCAGGGCTGATGTGACCAAGCGCGCTGGTAGCGTGGTTTTACCTCACAACCATGGTCTCACAGTGTGCCGGCAGTCGCCGAGCAGTGTCGCTCACACAAGCCGCAGCACAAGTGACTGTGAGGGCCAGTGAGGGCGAGCCCATCGCTGTGTGGCTGTGACAGCTGTGGCAGCCGCACAGTGGGCTGTGCCAACTGTGCAGAGCGTGTGAGCAGCAGAGGAGCTGCTCTCCAAGCTTCAGGCGCAAAGAGCTGCATGCCACCGAAGGCGCTGTCGAGGTTCGCCGAGCGTGGCGCAGGTTGGAGGACACCGTCACCGACGAGCACGTTGGACTTTTCACTCCGGACAAAGACCGCTCTCTGCACAGTGCACAGCGGACGGTGCGGGCCGTGCACGCGTCTCGCGTGCAGCGCGGGTCATAGCGGCGAGGCGCGGACCGTCTGTGGCGAAGTGACCGCGTTTAATTACGTACCGCACGCTTGCCGAGAGCAACCCGTGCGCGGTGTGTGCCACACGGTCGAGCGCGCGAGCACATACACCGTTCCGCACGTCAACCCGGATGCGCGGATCCCGGTCACCGTGCACCGTGCTCTGTGGCACTGCCGAGTCACGAATCACTCATCTCTCTCTCTGTACACACCCCACACTGACACAAGAGGAGAGAGGGGGAAGGCTGCGGACTCACGTTGCTGCGTCCTGGCGCAAAGCACCTCTCCGAGTTACGGCGAAGGGCTGCCTTCCGTATCGAGCACCTTCTTCATGCACTTTCCGACGGCCCACACGGTGAAGCCGATCTCGGAGAGTTTCCTGTGGTCGAGGATGTTGCGGCCGTCGAAGATGAAGGCGGGCTTTGACATCGAGTTGAAGATCTTTTGGTAGTCGAGCGTCTTGAACACGTCCCACTCGGTAATGACGGCAATGGCGTGCGCGCCCGCGCACGCGACGTACCTGCACGCACCGCGGAGGCGCGTTGGGTGGGCGGGGAGCGGGCGGGGAGGGCGGGGCGAGCGGGGGAGGCGGGGGCGGAAGAGGGGAAGGGAGATTGACTGGGCGGGCGCGGCGCACGGGTCTTCGTCGATCTCGATCTTCTCCATCGCCTCCTTGCCGAGGTCCTCATAGTACTGCTCCCGGCTCACCTGCGGAGCGGGACGCGGAGACGTGATACGGACACACCTCCAATCTCCCCGGCGGCACAATGCCACGGCTCGCCCTTGGGTCAAAATCTCGGGCGATCTCGGGCGATCTCGGGCGATCTTGGCTCACCTTCGGGTCGTAGATGGCGAGCTTGGCGCGCTCCTCGGAGAGGGCCTTGCAGACGTCGATCGCGGGCGACTCGCGCGTGTCGCCGGTGTCCTTCTTGAAGGCGAAGCCGAGGATGGCGATCCGCTTGCCAGAGACGGTGTTGAACATGGTCGCAACCTGCTCGCGGCGGCGGCGTGTGAAGAGGCGCGTGTGAGCACAGCCCGCCCGTGCGCCACACGGCGGCCGCACCATCGCGTTCGCGAAGCGCCGCTTCTGCCAGTCGTTCATGACGATGACCTGGTGCCAGTACTCGGCCACCTCCGGCAGCCCGAAGGAGCGGCATAGGTAGACGAGGTTGAGGATGTCCTTCTGGAAGCACGAGCCTGCGGCCACACGTGCACGAGCGCAAGTCAGGTGCGTGGTGCGGGCGCTGGGGGCTGCGAGGCCGGCCGCCGCTGGGCAGCGTGCAGGCCTCCGAAGCCGACAGAGGCCTTGAAGAACTTTGGGCCGATGCGGCTGTCGACCTAAAGTAGACACGGCGGAGACCGTGCAGAGTACTCGGCGCAACGCGTACAGCACTGAGGCGTGGATACGAGTACAGCCGCGTGCATGCTCGCGTGCTAGTTGGAATGCAGAGGGGAGTGTTCCGCACCCCGATCGCGTGCCCGACCTCCGACACGTCGGCGCCCGTCACCTCGCACAGCGCGGAGATGGAGTTGATAGACGAGATGCGCTGGGCGAGGAAGGCGTTCGCTGTCAGCTTGGACAGCTCCGCCGACCTGGCGGAGAGGGGGAGGGAAGGGAGGAGGGGGGGGGGGGGGGGTGAGCGGCAAGCGGAGCTGCCTGCTGCCCGCGCAACAGTCGTAGGCCGTCGGGTCGCGAGAGCCGCGCGCGGGCGTGTGGACGCGAATGGACGCTGCGCTGTGAGAGGGCGGCGCAGGGCGGGCTCCGAGGCGGCGCGGGTGAGTCACGCCCCTCCCGCACCATCTGCCCATCTAGGCCGCCGGACCAGAGGTTGGTAGTGAGCACGCGCTCCGTCGGCACCTGCGCAAGGCGCGGGTGCGGTGCAAGCGTGGGTGGAATGCCCGGGTGGGACGCAAGGGAGGGAGCGGGGAGCGCGGCGGTGGGGTGCGAGCAGCGGCGTCGCGCACCCATTTGCGGTACACATTTGCGAGGCACTCGATGGCGGCGAGCCCCTGCGGCGTCTGCGGCCCGCCGACCAGCACGCGGTCCGGCTTGAAGAGGTCGTCGATGGCGGTGCCTGGGGCAGGAGGAGGCGCGGTCTCGCGCCGAACCGTCCACGCGCCCCCTCGCAGAGCCGGAGGGAGGCCGACCCGCCGCACGGACGCCCCCAGCTAGACGCCCCACTCTGGGAGAGGAGGACTGGGGAGAGCAGATCTGGGAGGAGAGGTCTTGGAGGCGCGTGAGGGGGAGGGGGGGGGGAGGGGGGGGGGGGTAGACGTATTCGAAGACGTGTCGGCAGGACGTGTCTGGGGTGTGCAAGAGGACGGTGTCGGCAGGACATGTTTGGGACGTGTGTCCTGGGCCACGCACCCTCGGCAAGGAACTCCGGGTTGGACAGCACTTGGAAGTCGGTACCCTTGCACGCGGCCGCCATGACGGCCGCCATCGCGTCCGCCGTCTTGACGGGCACCGTCGACTTTTCGACGATTATCTTCGGCATCTGTGTGGCGGTGGGCAGCGGCAGTGGGCAGCGGTGGCGGGCGGCGGCGGCGAGGCTAGCGGCGGCGAGGGCAGCGGCGGCGAGGGCAGCGGCGGCGAGGGCAGCGGCGGCGAGGGCAGCGGCGGCGAGGGCAGCGGCGGCGAGGGCAGCGCCTTGTTTTCCGAGGCGTTGCACACCGCCGCGATTTGGCGCGCCGCGAGCTCCCAGTAGGTGAGGTCTGCCGCCTGAAGCGACGACGGGGAGGGGGACGTGACCACGCCTGGCCGAGGCGCAGCTAGAGGCGACGAGGCACGCGGCGAGGACGCGGCGTGCAGTGGGCCCGTCCCGGGCGACGGTGTGTTCAGACGCTGACGGTGTGTTCAGACGCTGTGCCGTCAGCGAGCTCGCGGCTCCAGCAAGCCGCCGCACAGCAGGGCTCACGCGGCGCCCGTCGTCGGAGCGTGCGTTCGGGCCGGTCGCTCGGGGCTGCGGTATGAGGGACGTGCAGCGCGCCTCTCCCGCGCCGATGCCGGACTTTTTGGTGGGCGTGGGCACGGAGACGAAGATGATGGTGCACTCGCGGATGGCGCTCTCAATGTCGGTGGAGAAGAAGAGGTTGCGCCCGCGCGCCTCCTCCACAACCTCCTGCAGCCCCGGCTCATAGATCGGCAGCGCCTGCACGGCGTGGAGAGGCGCGCAGTGAGCTTGAGTGTGGGTGGCGTGGCGTGCGGGCGTGAGGTGTTTGCGGGAGGCGCGAGGGCGGTCGGACGAGGAGGACCGCTCGGCTCCGCGGCGAGGAGGGAGCAGTGAGGAAGCAAAGCACACCGAAGAGTTCCAGGCGGCGATCCGCCGCTCGTTGAGATCGCAGACGGTCACCTTGATCTCGGGGCACTTCTTGGCCATCACCGTCATGGTCGGACCGCCCACGTACCCCGCGCCCAGGCAGCAAATCTTGGGAGGGTCCTCATACTTGAGAGTCATAGCGAAGAGACCGGGCTGTGCACAAGTCTCTGTACTTACTGCACGCCGCCTCACACACAAGGGCGTCTTCACAGCCTTGTTATTGAGAAGAAAATACCTCTCGGCGCTGTGCGCTACCGGTCATGAATGAGTGCGCGACACGCATGTTGCGAGCAGCGTTGGTGATGTTTTGCGCGTCGCCACAGACGGCGGCGCGCGAGAGCTGTTGCGAGTGGTGCTGGGCGAAGCCCCGGGCGCTGCCGGAGGCTGTGCCGTAGTCGGTGCGGTCGACGGCGCTCGGGCTGCCGACGTCTTTGGCGAAGTTGAAGATGATTCTCTTGGTCGGCGGCGGAATGCCGCCCTGGCTTTCGACGAGACAAATTTTGACGATTCCGAGGGCCCAACAGGAGAATCGTGCTTTTTGGGTTGGGTTGGGTTGTGGGCCTGGGTTGGGTTGTTCCGCGTAAGGTTGGGTCGTCGGCGCGAAGGGTGAGGTCTCGACCGCCGCCGCTCACGCCAGCGGACGGCCACCATCGGTGTTTCTGGCTTCGCCACCGTCCAAAGCGTGCGCAATGCGCTCGCCGGCATCGAGCGAGCACGCCTGTCCGACGAGTGGCTTGCTGTGTGGACGCCTTCTTGTGGCTCTCGTCGAGAGCCATTTGCGTCCCGGCGGGTGGGAGAGCATGTGATAGGAACGAGTGTATCGCTTCCACGGATCGACCGTGCTTGTTATCCACATCGATGTGACCCACTCATCGACTCATCAGACGACACATGCTCTCCCACCCGCCGGGACGCAAAACGCTCTCGACGAGAGCCACAAGAAGGCGTCCACACAGCAAGCCGCTCGCGGACAGGCGTGGTCGCTCGATGCCGGCGAAGCGCATCGCGCACGCTTTGGACGGTGGCGAAGCCAAAAACACCGATGGTGGCCGTCCGCTGGCGTGAGCGGCGGCGGTCGAGACCTCACCCTTCGCGCCGACGACCCAACCTCACGCGGAACAACCCAACCCCCAACCAACCCAACCCAAACCACCCCACTGAAAGCACGATTCTCGCTGTTGGGCCCTCATTCCGTTCTTGACATGGAGCGCGTCGTACTACTGTCCCTTGTGCTCTTTGACCCAGCCTTTGCCGGTCGCATGGACGAGCGGGCCCTGTGACTTGTGGCCGCGCTCTTTGCACCCAAGAACCTTGAGCAAGGTTTGGTCGAGGGTGCTGCCGAAACCAAATTTGTGGCCCAGTGACGCACAGCATCCGCCGTGTGCCGCCGAGCCCTGCCCAGCCTGCCTCGTCTTTGTGAGGGCGCGCTAGGCACCTTGACTTCGTAGTGGACATCGTCGTCTTCACACAATAAGAAGCCCGCGCGCTGGGAATAGGACCGCCGCAAGCGGCGTGGCGTGGGGCGGTTGAGCATCCCTCCGGGGGCCCTCTGCGCCGGGGAGGCGTTGTTGGAGGCTAGGACGCAAGCGTCCGTCGCCTTTTTCAAACTCGGGGCCCACTCCGCTACGCTCCGACCCGAATTTGGAGGGCCATTGAAGTTTAATTAAGGTGTTGCTGCGCAGATCAAACTCGTTCAGGAACTGCGCGAGCGACTTGATGCCAAGCTGGATGGACTGCGCAAACTCTCGCTCCTCCCAGTCGCGCTGCACCCCGGATCCCCGGTCTCGGGGACGAGCGTAGCGCTGCTGCCCGGCATGCGCCGTTGCTGGGACGCCGAGTAGTGGCGGTCGCCCTCCAACTCTTGAGGTCGGCTTGCGCGCCGCGCCGTCGGCCCGGGGGGTTGTGTTTTTGTGTGAAGAAGACGTCTGTGCTTGCTTGTGTAGGTCTCTATCTCTAGGAGTGACTTCAAGAAGTCACTTAGATCTTAGTGACTTCTCGAAGTCACTCGCCCCGCGCGCGGGCGCGCGCACAGTACGTGCTCTCGCGGCCGGCCCGTGCACCGTGCGAGCCCCGCGGACTCGGCCCCAGTCGGGCCGCAATGGGAGAGGCTCCTAGAGCAGCCTGGGCGGGGTTCAAACGGCTTTGGAGCACTTGGGGCACTTGGATGTTTTCTCCTTCCCCGACGAACTTGCGATTGCGGTCCTCGTACGAAAAGGCGCACACGGCCTGCCTCCGCACCGCTACGCGATGACACTCAAGCGCCGCAGTCCCGGCGACATGCAGGCACCCAATGGCAATGCTGTGCCGGTGGCTGACTGGTCGCCTCACACAGAGCGTCTTCACACTGGCTCTCCCTTGTCAGCAGAAGATTTTTCAGTGTATGTAGCTCTTACGAACATACCCGTAGGTGAACTGCTGACAGGGTTTGCGATCTTGAGGAGCGATCCGAATTTTAGATCCCGAGCGCGAGGCGGTGCGCGTTCACGTAAACGCACAACCCCGGGCCCCGAAATCGCAAAAACAAAACAACGGCCTACGCACGGCCTACTCGCCCAAGTACTCGCTCTCTTTTATGTCCCACCATGCAGAGCGCATCTCTCTCTCTGTTGTGCGAGGCGTGAACCGCGCCATTCGCTCTCACCTGGCAACCCTGTCTGCACGTCTAGCGCGCGCGTGAACAGGGCTCCAGGCCCCAAATGACGTGTGAGTGTTAGAGTTGTTTGGTTACATGTATTGCTAAAAATCTCTCTCGAAATCGCACAGTGAGAGATGACAGTGACATGCAACACGGGGTCCTCCCACGTTCACGATTTTTTGTTAATTGGTTTCTTTTTTGTCTTCTAGCCTCGCCACCATCTCAGCCAAGTGACTGCCAAGAGAGAGAAATTTCTTGTTGGTTAATGAAAACCTCTCTCTGCCAAGCTTCGAGGGCCAAATTTTCTCTTTTCCCCTTCGACATAATGTACGCGCCCTGGCGAGTAGAGGCACACGCACGGTCTCCCGAGGTCTCTTGGAGCAGAGCCCCGGCGAGTCCTCGAAAAAGCTACCCAATGGGTCCCTCGAGAGGGTACCCTGGGTGGGCGGGGCCTCTACTCGCTAGGTACCGGTACGCGCCGCCCTTCACCCACCCAGTCCAGGGCCTAGAGAACACAACCTGTGTGTGTGTGTATGTGGCGCGCCGCGGTCTCATCTGAGCACATCCGCCTCTACTTTGCCGCCGCCGCGCTCGCGCGTCGCGCCTCGGGCCTCGAGGCGTCTCTAGCTGCGCTCCGGGCGGCGCTGGGCACGCCTGCGGCGGCCGATGCGGTGGCGGCGCTCACCGCAGCATGCAAAGCCAGCGGCTGCGATGAAGAGCTCGGACGCCTCACCGCGGCGCGAGAGCCGTTCGACGAGCACACTGCGCAGCTCATCGTTCCCGGCCTCTACCTCGGGCCACTCATGGCGGCCGAGAGTGACGCTTGGCTCGAGCTGCACGGCGTCACCGCAGTACTAGACACGACCGGCGGGTGGAGGCGGAAGTCGTCCGCGCTCGACGGGCAGAGCTGGGTGCGCGAGCCGCCGCCGCCGCCCGGTCGCCGCCAGCATCTCCAGCTTCCGGCGGAGGACCGCGCCGACTTCAACATTGAGCCGCTCCTCCGGCGCGGCGTCGACTTTATCCGCGAGGCGATCGGGGCGGGCGGCTGTGTGCTGGTGCACTGCCACGCGGGCGTCTCCCGCTCAGCCACCCTCGCCGCCGCGTACCTGATGGAGGAGCACGCCCTCTCCGTGCGCTGCGCCCTGCGACTCCTCACCGAGGCGCGCCCGTGCTGCCGGCCCAACCCCGGCTTCGAAAAGGCGCTCGTCGGGTGGGAGATGCGAGTGCGCGTGGCGGGGAGGGCGCGCAGCGCCGGAGGCGGCGAGCGCGTGCCGAGTGGCGGGGCGAAGCGCCCGCGCTCGCCGGAGGCCGTGACGGGCGCGGCAGAGGCGGGCGGGGCGGCGGCGGGTGGCCGGGCGGCGGCGGGCGGGGCGGGGAGGAGCGGCGAGGAGAGGGTCGGCGGCAAGACTGTGAGAGAGAGTGGCCACGACTCCGGCGGCGGCGGCGCGCCCAGCCGCCTGCGCGTCGTGGCGGCGTGCGCCTCGTCCAAGGGCCGCAAGACCCAGAACGAGGACGTGCCACTGCTGCTCGACTCGCTCAAGGAGGGGAGGGCCCTGTACGGAGTACTCGACGGGCACGGAGGCCGAGATGTCGCCGAGTGGGTGTCGCGCCGGCTGCCGGAGCTGCTGTGCGAGCAGCCCGCCGCGTCCGCTCCAGTCAAGGAGGCGCTGCGCAGGGCCTTCGTCGCGTGCGACTCCGAACTCGTCCTCGCCGCCACCGAGCAGGGGTGGTGCGACGGCTGCTGCGCGACCGCCGCCCTTTTGGAGCTCGACGCGGCTCCTCCGCGCGCGTACGTTGCAAACCTGGGCGCGGGGCCCCTCCATCGCCATTTCCTCTGCCTCCGCCTCCTCCGCCTCAACCTCCCGCCGCTTCCTCCGCCTCTTCCTCCGCCTCCCCGCCTCCTCGCCCTCCTCCCCCACTTCCCTCCCCTTCTCTCTCCGGTGCCCCCGCCAGGCGACTCGAGGGCGTATGCTTGCGTGGTCGCGGGCAGCGGGCCCGCCCGCACCGTTCCGCTCTCCAAGGGCGACCACTCGCCGCTCGACGCGGCCGAGCGCAAGCGGATCGTGGCGGCCGGCGGTCACGTCGAGGGCGGGCGCCTGTGCGGCTCGCGCGAGCTAGATGCGGAGTCGGATAGCCGCGTGTCTTCCCGCGAGACGCCAGTGCCGTGCTCGAGGCTGTCCTCACACCCTCACGCCCTCTCGTACGCTCTAGGCTCGCTCGAGGTCTCTCGCGCCTTTGGAGACGTGCGGCTCAAGCCTTTTGGGCTGATCGCCACGCCCGACGTCGTCTCTTTCAAGATCGGCCGCGAGACGGAGTTCATCCTGCTCGCCTGCGACGGCTTGTGGCGCGTCTTCTCGGGCGTGCAGGCGGTCGAGTGGCTTCGGCCGAAGCTGTGCGACATGGACCGGCGGCGGGCGGCGCTGGTGGCCCAGCTCGGCTCGGCGACGGCAGTCGCCGCGCTGACCCGAGAGGCTCACGCATCGCTGCTCAAGGAGAGGGAGGCGGCGACCGAGGAGGGCGTGCTGCGCGAGCTCGTCCGAGTCGCGGTGCAGGAGCGCAACGCGCGCGACAACGTCACAGCGGTGCTGGTCCGGTTCGCGTGGCCAGAGGCGGAGTCTTGACGCCAGCAGTCCGACGGTGACGCTGGTCCTGCGTTCTTATGCGCATATATTGGACTACGAACTCCTGCAAGTGATTTCGTTAGTAGAGGGTGTGGATGCTGAGTTGACGGAAATCGAGGGACGCGACCCACCTCGCCACAGACGGTCCCGCGCCTCGCCGCTCATGACGCTTGACGGCGGCACGGCCGCAGCTCGTGCCTCGTGTGCGTGCCGCCGTCTTTGTCCGGAGTGAATACTCCAACGCGCTCGTCGGTGGCGGCTTCCCTCAACCTGCGCCGCGCCGAGCGAACCTCGACAGCGCCTTCGGCGGCATGCATCTCTTTGCGCCTGAAGCCTGGAGTGCAGCTCCTCTGCTGCTCACACACTCTGCACAGTTGACACAGCCTACTGTGCGGCTGCCACAGCTGTGACAGCGATGGGCTCGCCCTCACTGGCCCTCAGTCACTTGTGCTGCGGCTTGTGTGAGCGACACTGCTCGGCGACTGCCGGCACACTGTGAGACTGGGTGTGAGGTAAAACCACGCTACCAGCGCTTGGTCAGATGGCCACATCGGCCCTGAGGTCAGATCCATCTCCTCTGCTGATGACAACACTTGTCTACTCGCTGGAGCCGAGCAGGAGGGCCCAGCGCACAACCCGTGGTCAACTCACCCTCCACACCCCGTACAAAAAATCACAGAAAATTCACAAGCGCTCGCGGACGGCCGAGCCACGCGTCACGCAGCAGCCCTGAGGTGCCCTGAGCACACATGCGAGCGCCCATGGTCATATCTCGTCGTGCACTCGCCTGACAGTAGTTTGTGGAAGACCGCCGCCAGCATGTCGTCGCACCGGCGCTGCCGGTGGGCGAAGGCAGCCACCGTGGGTCCAGCAGCGCGAGCTGGTGTGCATCCGCGCTCCCAGAGCATGCTGGTGGATGGCCTTGACCAGGCCTGAGCAGCTCAGGAGTGGAGGCAGCCTCTGTCTGGACGAGCAGCAGCTCGCAAACACCAGCGAGGCGCGCGCGCGAGGAGGGAGCCTTGCTGCACACGGCGTGAGCGTATGCCCCTCCCCCCAAAAGGCGTCGCTCGAGGCCCGAGGAGGCTTCTCCATCATTGGATCGCTGCGTCCGGACTCGCGCTTCTCGGACGACGTCTTCGGCGTCGCCAAACCAGCAGAAGAGCGCCGAGCGGCGGCGCCGACTCCGTGAGCCCACTCCAACTCGCACATCTCAAGCTGTATCTCGAGAACGCGATCCGAGTTAGAAGCTCATCGACACGGCGTCTTCAATGGCGGTCCCTGGCCGTCACTCCCGTGGCCGAGAGTACTAATCACTTGCGGGAGGGGCGTACTGGACTTCCTCCAAGTCGGGGGCGCTTCGGCAGTTCCTCCGAAGAAGAACGTGTGAAAAAAAGGAAAAAGACAGCGTGCGTTAGTGTGTGAAACTCGCTTCAAGGCAAGAAGGAGAGAGAAGGAAAGAAAGAAAAAACAGAGAGCAAGGGAGGATGATGGGAGGTATTTGCTCTGGTTCCGTGCTTAGAGCCTACTGTATACTTGATGCAGAGCTTTCCGACGTCATTGTGTTTGCAGCTCCGCGCTCGACGCCCACACGCGCGCGCCCGCGCGCCACCCCTTTTGCGCAGCAACACCTTAAATTTCATGGCCGCCAAATTCGGGTCGGAGCGTAGCGGAGTGGGCCCCGAGTTTGAAAACGGCGACGGACGCTTGCGTCCTAGCCGCCAACAACGCCTCCCCGGCGCAGAGGGGCCCCCGGAGGGACGCTCAACCGCTCCACGCCACGCCGCTTGCGGCGGTCCTATTCCACGCTCGGCGGGGGCCTACATGTACTTTTTTTGAGCGAGCGCCTCGACTCTCGTTTCGGTGGATACGGCCCCGCTCAATATGACTCCGATGCTGCTGCTGCTGGTCTCGGCTCTGGCGTTCATGCCAGAGCTCGAGCTCAGACTGGTCGGCTTCACTCCACGCGGCGCGTTCATCTCAGACACAGATGCAATCACCGTCACCTTCAATCGGGCAGTCATCCCATTGGGGGGAGACATTGGTGCTCCGCTCCCGGAGGACAAGGTGCCCTTTGCCATAACGATGCGGCAGAGCGCGGGCGCGGCTGCGCTGCCGCCAATGTGTGGCACGTTTCGGTGGGTGACGACGCTCGTCGCTCGCTTCGATCCCTGTGAGTCCTGGCCGACTCGCCACGGGGCCGCAGACGCTCCAGCTGCCCATTGGCGACGAGTGCTTCGGCGGCTGCCGCGCCACCATCGTCGTCTCAAGCCCGGCCCAGCCTGAGGCTTCGCCCGCGCTGCCGGTGGACTTGGCCACCTCGGTCCTCTTCGATTCGAGACTGCCGCGGCGCATCGTGAGCCAGCATGCGCTGGACGTGATTGATGACTCACGGAAGCTGAGTGTGACAGTGCAGCTTGACGTGCCGGTGCTCGCCCCGGGCTCGGAGGCCGGTTTAACCGTGACGCTCACGGACGCGTCCGGGAATCCGGCAGCGGGCGAGGTCGCCGTCTTCGTGGTGGACCGCGCCTTCCTCGACGTGGCGCCCCATCCGCCCACGGACCTACTCGGGGAGTTTGAGCTGCAGCTCAGGCCGCGCCGGCTCTCTATCGTCTCCAACGCCGACAGGATGATCGGCGGGGCTGCCTACGAGCGGAGCAAGGCGCGTGATAATATTTTAGCAACACAGCCACGACGTGCTGACATCTCTTGCGGTGATCAGGCGCGGATCATCTCTCTGAATGACAAGGATGAGTGGTGCTTTGGCTCGTACCACCACAGCCAGTGGCCGATCGCGCCAGGCGTCTCGGACGCCTTTGACCTCGCTGCCGACGCATTCCTCGACCGGCACAGCCGGGTCTGGGTCACCGACCCGCCGGTGTCCCGAGAGCCCGCGTTCGATCCCGCTCACTTGCACAGCAGAGTCGAAGCAGGAGGCGAACCGATGTTTGCCAGCGCCTTCATGGACTTGGCCGAGGACAGCCAAGCGCCTCTCAGCACCACGCGCACCACACGCGTGGGGGAGAAAGGAGTGTCTGAAGGGAGCCGCGCCACGACCGCCTCGCCAATTCAGATCGACGCCCCCATTCCCATTCGGTCCGCGTTCGAGACGGCGCCGCTGATCCTGCCAGCTCTCACGGTGCCGCCGTCGGGCATGGCGCGCGTTACGTGGACCCTCCCCGACAATGTTGGCACGTTCGTGGTGCGCGCGTACGCCGCCTCCGGCACCTCCGGCGCTCGTTTTGGAACCTCGGACGATGCGGAGCAGGTTTCGCGCAACCCGTTGTCCCTTGTGCCCTCGGTTCCGCGCATCAGCCGCGTTGGCGACCACTTTTCCTGCGGCGTGACGGTCACCGCGGCAGACCCGACGTTTAGCGAGGAGGTGACTCTCTCCGTGCTGGCTTCGGGCGGGCTCGCCCTTACCTCCGCCGGCTCGCAGACGGTGTCTGTCGACGGCTCGCGGCCGCGGGAGGTGACCTTCAACTTTTCTGCGGCGTCGATGGCCCGGGCTGACCTCGTGTTTGCTGTCGCCGCGAGCGAGACGTCCGACGCGTTGTCGGCGAGCGTTCCGGTCCTCTCGCCCCAACAGGAGATTTTTGTGGCCACCTCGATGCCCATCACCGCCTCCGAGGCCGGCACGCCGTGGACCGAGGGGCTGGCATTGCCAAAGGCGACACCCGGCAGCGGCTCCCTCGATCTCATCGCCGGCGTGGGCTACCTGCCGGCAGTGCGGGCCATCAGCTCTGCACTGGTGGCGCCAGAGCCGTGCGAGGACCGCACAAGGTATTGCTCCTCCATGTCGGTCGTCAACTCGCTGGCCGCGCTGCCGGTGCTCGAAGAGTACCTTGGCGAAGCCGACGAGGCGGCTCGGGCGGCGGCCGACGTGTTTGGGTCGAGCCTCACACTGTTGGAGGAGATGACGGACGGCTCTGGGCTCCGCAGCTCGCTCCGGGTCCCGCAGCGCAGGTCAATCGACCTGCCGCTGACCGCTTGGGCGCTCGAGGTGCTCAGCGACGCAGAGCGGCGGCCGCTGAGCGCGGTGACGGCCGCCCAGACCGCGAGCGCATCGCGGCTCAGAGTGCAGTGGACCGCCGCGCTCAGCGAGGCGCTCGCGCAGGAGGTCGACACATCGAGGCAGAACGGGTATCCCTTCCGAGGCTACGACGCTGTGGCGCGCGTGCGGCTGTCGCTTGGCGTCGCCGATCTCCCCGGGCTGGACGCCGACGCCACCTCGCTCACTTCGATGGAGCGGCTCGTCGCTGCGGCCAAGGACGGGACGTGTGGCTCCTACTGCTCTGCGGCGACCGCCCTCATCCTGCTGCGCGAGTCCCCTGCTGACCGCGACGCGCTGAAGCTGCTGACGGACTTGGCCAATCAGCTTCGGGCGACGGGCCGCACGGCATACCTTGCCCACGACGGTTCGGCGCACGCCCAGGGCATGAGCGTGCAGGCGCTGGTCGCGCGCGGGTCGCTGCTGTGCGCCGACCGATCGCCGATCCCGTTACTGCTGCTGCAAAAGTTGGCCAACTACATCGCGCAAGGAGGAGCGCAGTGGGGCCCAGGGGTCGTTGGTGGTGGCGGCGGCGGCGGCTCGGCCGGGGTGGCGCGGATCTTCGCCTTGGCTGAGTACGACGTGCATGTTGGCTCGGATACGCCTGACGTCAACTTCACCGCCAGCAGCGGCCCTGTGCGGCTGCTCCACGGGCGGTTCACGCCTGCATCGCGGGAGGCGCTCGCATCGTCGACCTCGTGGCAGGCGCTCGACTCGCCGCCCGCGCCGCTGGTGTTCTGGGCGCGCGGCAGCGGGCAGATCAATGTCGCTGCTGGTCTCCGTTTTGTGCCAACCGACCCACCACCGGGGCCAGTCTACCGTGGTCTCCTTGTCGAGATGGCGATCCGGCTCGTGGTTAGTGGCAACCCGTCAGGCCCGCCGCTGCGCAGCTGTCACCTCGGTTCGGTGGTGGCCGTCACCATCCAGGTCACCTCGCCCGACGACATCGCCAGCAGCGTTCGTGTGGAGGGTTGGCTACCAGCCGGGCTGGAGCCCCTCGACCCAAACGTCGGCGAGGGCGGCGGCGGCTCGGACGGCTGTGATGACCCTGGCCCGTGGCCCCCAGTGTACGCGGGCCGAAGGCGGACCTCGTTGTGGAGGGGTGGGTGGTGGTTCTGCCCTCTGTGGGAACGGCAGACGATGGTGGACAAGGTGACATGGCATAGCGCGCACGGGATGCGCGCGGGGACCGTCACGCTGAGTTTCGAGGCCGTGGCGGTGACGTCCGGCGTGTTTGTGCGCCCGCCAGCGCAGGCGCTCATCGAGATGCAGCCCGAGGTGATGGGCTTCTCGGCGGGCGGTCTGTTCGAAGTGAGTCGTACCACGCTGACCGCCGAGCAGATGGCGCTGCCGGTGACCCCGCCGCCGATCGATTGTCCGGGCGACGGCTGCTCCGGCAACGGCGTCTGTGATGTAGTGAGTGGTGCTTGCGTGTGCTCCGGCGACTTCGTGGGCGACGATTGCGCAGAAGCGTCAGCGCCACTAGCGCTGGACATCTTGTCAGCGACGGGAGAGGGGGCGCAGAGGGTCGTGTTGCAGGGGTTGTCGAAGAACGATGAGGATTGGGTGGCGGCCGTGTCGAGTGATGAGAGGGTCGTGGCGTCGGCCTCGTTTGTCTTCGTCAGCGGGAATAGCGGCGCCGAGCTGACGTGGGCCCTCGCCGAGGGTGCGTCCGCAGGCAGCTCGACGGTGGTGACAGTCGTGGTGGTCGAAGGCTCGAGGGTCACATCGCGGCAGTTCCGGCTGAGCGTTTGGGCGGTGGACGGCGAGCTGGTGGGGGCAGCAGGCAACCTCTCGCTCTTCACTCCCGGTGCTCAAATGCACCTGCGTGATGTCAACGTTGAGCAGCTGCGGCTGCGGCTGGAGGCGCTCAGTGGCGTTTCCATATCCACGCAGCAGGTAGTCGCGGCAGATACCGACGGGGACGGATCGCTCGACGGCGATGAGCTGGCGGCGCTCGAGGCACGAGTGGCGAGCTTCGGCGGGGCTCATGACAGCGGCGGCGGCAGCGGCGGCGGCATGAGCACCGGAGTGGTTGCGGCGATTGCGGTCGGGGCTATCGTGGGGATCGGAGCAATCGGGGTTCTGCTGTGGCGTGCCCGCTGCGCCGGTAGCACGGCACGATGTCCTAGCGATCCGGATGGCAGCGACGGGGACGCCGGCAAGGGCGGCAAGGCGCCGATGAGGGATGATCAGGCCTTGCAGTCGCTATGATGTGTCGCGGCAGCGTGGGCCACACAGACACGCGCAAGTCGCGAGAAAGTCCCAGACTTTGCAGCTTTATGCCACTCTGTGTCGCGTGTCCGCACGTGTCTGCGTGTGAGTCGTTCTGAGAGATTTTTTGACTCTGCTGCTGGGGGGTGTCGGGACCCCCCCCCCAGCAGCAGCGCTCTGCTGCTGGGGGGTGCTGGCATCTCTGTACCGACAGCTGTAAGTAAGTACGGTTAGCGTTCCAGTCGTCGGCGAGGTGCTGGATATTAAATGGCTTGAGGGCGAGCCGCATGGCTTCCACCACGTCGGTGCCCGCCATTGCGGCGACGCGTCGCGGCGGACCTGACAGTTTTGCCGCGCGACGGGCCGCGCGCGCGTTTCGAAAAAAGAAAAGTCTCTAAGCTCAGTCGATCGATTTCGACGAGCGAGCGACCCAAGGATCGAGCGGGGGACCGATAGGCTAGCGGAGAGATCAACGCTGATCGATCAACGTCAGCCGAGACGCCCGAGTGAGTGGCTCACTATACGGCTTTTACAGTAGTGTGGTAGAGGTAGTACAAGAAACGAGACACTCACATGGTCACAAGTCTTTAGTAAAACGCCAGCACTCGACACGACGAAGGTGTATTGGGCTCGAAGGCGCGGTGAACACAGCCGCCTCGAGCGTACCACTAAAACACGAGCCGAGGTGGGAGGGGGCGGCGGCGGCGAAGAGGCGGGAGCCGGGAGAGCTGGAGGTCCAAATGCCCTCTCCTCTGCTGCTGGGGGGGTCTCGGGACCCCCACCCCCCAGCAGCAGCGCTCTGCTGCTGGGGGGGTCAGACCCCCCCCCCCCTAGCAGCAGGGATGACTTTAGATGTGCAGGGGGGGTACCGAGCAATGACCACAATGTGCGGCCGATCCATGACATCCGGGGCGCGGGCCGCGCGGCCCGCGGGGGGGGCGCCCCGGCCCCCCGCGCCAATGAATAAAACGCCCATTAAATAGTAGAGAAAATGCTACACCGCGAGCTTCTGGACGACTCGCGAGACCCTATGGTAAGAGAGAGGGGGGGGGGGGGGGGCTAACCGGCGACCCCTTTCGAGGGGGCGGGGCCCCACCCAAAAGGACCTCAGTGGTGTTCTATCC